ACTCTCCCTTAAATAAATATATTATGTGCTGGTTCTATGTCAGGTGTTAAGCTTAAAACTTCACATAGATCATTTCTCTGAATCTGCATCCCAATTCTGATAACAAAGGAAGAATGTAAGGTTCTAATTGATGAAATGAGTTGTCCAAGATAATAAAACTAGTAAGTAGTGGAACCTGATGTCTTTCTTTAGACATATTAAAACCTGCCTGCTTCTATTAGATAAGTTAATGTCTTCAAACAGATTATAGTCAGTTCTTTGCTATTCAGTCTGTTTTATAATTTTCTCCTCTCTGATCCCCAACACTGCAAAATAATAATGACGATGATGATAATTTTCTGCTATGGTTTTGCGTTTTATTTTTGTACACAGGAAAGAGTCTTATTTTTTCTATTTTTGAATTCATGCATAGGGAGTTGATAGGACAGGGAAGATTTCATGGCTGTGTCCATGTACTTCCTACATGGCTAAGGCAAAACATCATTCTGTCCATTTTCCAGTTGAGGAACCTGGATCCACAGTCCCAGCAGAATTATGTTGTAAATCAGGATATTCACATCATCGCTCTTTCCACTGCACCATTGTTGAGGGACAGCACATAGGTTGCAATCTGTATGCTGTAGCTGATTAGCTTGTCTATTCATTTTCTGTGGCTGCTTGTAACAAATCACCATAAATTCAGTGGCTCAAAACAACACCTATTTATGATTTCACAATTCTAAAATTACAGATAAGTTTTACTTTGTTAAGATCAAGGATGGATTCTGAGGCTGTCTGAGCTTGTGGGGATAGATGAGCTGTGATCAATTGGGAATGTCTATCATGGATCCAGAAGAAGGAAATGCCATGTTTTCTATGCTACCATAGATGCAGCCTAAAAGGAGAGTGATAAGAGAAGGGACCAGTCAGTCTGAGTGCTACAGTCCTAGCTGTACAGGCCTTGTACCCTATAGTCCTTCTTTTCCCATAGCTGGAGCTACTGACCCCTGTCCAGCAAGCTGACCTCCTTCCCTGAGACACCAAAGGAAGTACAGTATTTTCATAGTAGGATAGGTACAGATCTGAGCRGTTTACCCTTTAGACAGAGACAGATGATCATGACAAATGATTATGCAAGGTAAAATAATGTTAATTCCCAGGCACCACTTGACCATGCTTTTCACCTCTATGACTGTGCCCAAACTGCCTAAAATGTTCCTCTCTTCTGCTACTTCCAATCCTACTCATGCTTCAAAAACCACTTCCTTTTTCATTCTTCCTGACTGGAAGAACATCCACTTTCTCAACATTGCACTTTTTCTTTTTTTTTAATTATATCTGAGACTAGTAAGGGAGGCAGATGAGTCAAGGAATCACATCATGAAATATGACAGGAATCCTGGGATCAGTCATACAGTGAAAAGTTACATGTTCTGAGTGTTTTGAGGCTGACTTGGGGAAGTGACTGCTGACCTGCAATCTGAAGGCTCAGTAGACCTTCTAGATGAAGAAGAAGGGCATTGCAGGCAGAGGCACATCACGGCATAAAAGCAGTATAGAAAGTGGGGTATACCAGATGCTCTGAAAGGAAGCAGTGGTCCAAGGTGTCAGTCAGAGGTGTAGTGCTAGAGGAGTAGAGAGGCTGACCCAAGCCAGGGCACAYAGGACAAGTGACAGGCTTTGTTCTTCATCCCAATAATTATGTCCCTTCACTTGCCCTTAGTCCATTCTATTAAGCTCTTTTGTGTTCAGGCCAGGGTGTCCTTCTCCCTAAGGAATCTTGGTTCCTCCCCCCAAGTTTTGGATCACATGAGAATGTGAGCTATCATGTCAAGATACAGGCACACTTAAGAATAAAGTGGAACATTTCTGAGAATAGGAAGAGTGGAGTCTCTTCCTTTGAACAAAGAATTAGGAATGGAAAAGAAGAGATTGTCAAAAAGAAAAAGAAAAGGAAAAAAAAACCCTCTAGGACATATACCCAACCAGAGTGAACTCACTGCCACTCATGAGTTAGTAAAGTACCAGTGTGAAGTGTCCAAAAATGTGTGCACTAAACTCTAACAGACTTTGAGGCATTGGCTTGTGAGACGTTGGAATTCTTGGGAAGCTGGGGTAGGCAGCTCTTCTATAAAGGGTGGTGGAAGTCTAGAGATTACAGTGTGGTAATATTTATATCCCTTACGGTGGCTTGCATAAAGTGGGTGCAATAGTTGATATTGAAGTGAATTTTAGGACGATGAGGACCTTTGTGTAATCAATAAATTCATATATTTTAAGACCCTTCTCTGGGACTTTTTCCAGTGAGGAGGCTCAATGTTGTGAAAGAGCATTGGATGCAATGCAGAAGGAATTTTTCAAACCTCATAAACCTTGGTTTCATTGTAAAATGGGATCTAGTCACCATCTTTAGTATTTTCATAAGAAAGTCCAATGTTGAAGCATAATTAAAACTACCCGGAAATGCCTACGGAAGGCACGATGTTGGAGCCTAACAAGCCATAYATCTCTCACCAGGTCCAACATTGCCAATTCCTCCCCCAGTGTTGGAAAGGGTTGCTGTTGATTCAACTGAACACCAGATGAAGTGGCTGGCTTGCGTTCAGGAGCCATGTTGTTAACAAAAATGTACCTTCTCTGGAAACACTGAAACCACACTCAACGAGGTGAGATGCTTCCGCTCTGAGAAGCTCAACATGCTGAGGTAACAGTGCCAGATGTACATCTCCTACTTCTACAACTGCTGTTTCTCCACCTGCTAAGAGAAGAAAAATATACCTCCTTATCCCTCCCTGCCTCAAAAGGATTCTCAGAGGATCAGTGTGGATATGTGTTACAGAAAACTTTACAAAGTCCCTGTCTCCAAGTGTGCCACATCAACATTAAGTCTATTGTGGCTAACATCTGTATTAATGTAGTATCAGTCATATACCATAGGATCCCAGAGCTACAAAACTTCTAGAAGAATCCATTCCACCTCCCATAAAGAGGAACTCAGAGATAGGGAGCTCACTTTTTTTCAAGGTGACTGCTTCCATGTTGCACTTAGAGATTTCCTCATTCAATGATTTGACTTCTGCTTCTTTACAACTTTTTTTTTTCCATAAGAAAGTCAAATGTTGAAGCATAATTAAAACTACCTGGAAATATCTAAGGAAGGCAAGATGTTGGTAATATCTTTCAAAGATATTACCAAGTAATTTCCCCTGTGTTGACACTTCAGATAGCTGAGGACAGCTGTTTTATCTTTTCTTCTCACAGGATGAGGGTATCAAAGTCCTCATTTACCATTCTAGGCACCTACCACCCCAAATGTGAAATTAGCCAATGTCCCCATTACAGGGTGGGCAGAATGTAGCCTGCCTATAGATAACATTCCTCCTCTGGAAAAACTCCTCTTAAAATCATAGCTTTACATGCAGAGTAAATTTATCACCAAGCTATAGATTATATACCTGTTTCTTAAATAATCACGTCTCCATTTCACGGGTACAGAACATGAATAAAAGAAAAAATCGACTACTTTAATTTCACAATGAATCCAATATCTAAATCTCCCTGTCATTTATATTGTAATTGCTTTAGGCCCTCTGTTGAGGATCATGCATGTGTGCTATCCCTGGAATTCATTTTTCAAAAACCCAGATTAAACAGAATCAAGATACTAGAATTTGTTTTCTAATGCCCATAAATAATAGGGAATGTCACCTGGTTTCTCAAAAAGAAAGAAGCAAAAACTATAATTTGGTGAACACATAATAACCTTAACCTGAACAGTGCTAAGAACAGGTTAAAGTCACTTCCTCAACAACCTTATCAGCTGAACAAATGGAATCCCCTAAATTTTTGTGATCCCACAGTTCTTCAAAGATCAATGGCTGATTCTAATGGTGATATACTTCTCCCTGTTCTCTATCCTAACCACTCTGGATTTTGCAATGACTAGGATGGAAAGCAGATACAGGTTGGGCCATATACTGTAAAATCTGTTCATAGTTCTGCTAGGAACTGACAAGTCTAAAAAAAACTGTAGAAAAATTACTCCTAGTTGTGGAGGAAAACAGGAATAAAGTGCTAAATGGGCTTTTAATGAAGATTTCTCAGGGTGAACATATGTAGAAAGAGCTTTCAGATTTAGGCAAAGGATGAACAAAACAGTCAAGCTAAGTTTTCCAGAAAGCTCCTAGTTTACAAGGCCACGGTGATGATATATACAATAAACAGATCATTTGAGAACTCTTTTGCTGTCAATAGACCAACATGTTGGGTCCCCCCAAAATAGCTGAATTAGACAAAACATAACAACACATTAGTCAGAAATATAGCTTTATTATCATATTTCATAATCTAAAAACTTCTTTTTAAATTCTGGGAACAGAATATTCCAACTTCTGTACAACAACTGACTGGCCCTGCAGAATACTGGAAAACGGTGTCTAAGCAACCTGAACTTTGTAGATAAGAATCTGTAATTTATTTTGGGAAGAAAGAAAAAAAAAGAAAGAATAGTTCAAATAAATTTTTCTCCCCTAAAAGACAAATAATAAAATTCATTTATTCTTCAGTTTAACTTTGAACACGGTTTCCCAGAAACTTTGGTGATTTCTTCGAAAAAGCAACTGCCTCAACTTTAAGGTTAATTGCCCAGGGAGACAAGAAAATTATTTTAAAATAGGACATAAATGGTGTCCCATGGCACACGGCTCAAGCCATGGCATGTAAATGGAGTATCCCTCTGAATAAACCAGCTCCCATATTTCAACAGTAAATTTATGTCTCAAAGGAAGTATAGCATACATAACCCATTTCCTTGTATGGGGATCAGAAATTAGTTTGAACTTAAAAAGAAAACAAATTTAAACCAGGCACCATGGCACACATCTGTAATCCCAGCAACTCAGGAGGCTGAGGCAGGAGGATCACAAATTTAAAGCCAACCTCAGCAACTTAGTGGGACCCTGTTTCAATATAAAAAATAAAAAGGGGCTGAGAATGTGGCTCAGTACTTAGGTGCCCCTGAGTTCAATCCTGGATACCAAAAGAAATTTTTTTTAATATAATAAATCTCAAAATTATTTGCCTCATGTGATGTTTATAGATTATGACACTATGGTGCTTTCTGAAGATCACTGGATACCACTGTCAAACAGAGCTGCTACRCCCTCTAGGCATGTTAAAGGAATATCAAAATTATGAGCTATTTTAAATGAAACAGAAAAAAAATCTGGCTATAGCATTTTTAAAAAAGTTGTTGTCTTTGCACACACATTACAGGACAAGGAGCATGCAATACAACTAACAAGTCATTTTTTAGTATGGGAAAGCTAAAGTGCAAMCATGATAGAAGCATTAATATTAAATAATTTTGGAGGAGATTAAGTATCCAAATAAATAATAACATTACCATTTTTACAATGCTAGCCTAAACAGTAATATTCACAGCAATATATTTTCCCACTTGATAGCTGCCTACGTACCATACGAATGGTCCACCCCCATAAGCCAAAGGTCAAAGTGAACACTCAAAAAAATCAACATCTCCACTATGATAGGTTCAAAATATTTAAATAAGAAGTTACACTTTTTGATTTACTGTCATTTTAAGTAACTGCTTTATTACCTATTTTTAAATATACTGCTAATCTGATGCTTATTGCAATAACAATCATAATTCTACTAGTGTTATTTAGGTTACAGTTTTAATTTTTAAAATAAGAAGATTCAATTTACATGAGCAAACCTATATAGTTTTAAAACCACCCACCACAAACACACACTTTCTCCATGAGGATTTAAAAATAAATTATTAATATACCTGACATATATCTTGTATGTGCATTATATATATGTATATGTCTATATATCTGTGGACAACATTGCTCTTGTTTCCAGAAGGATGTCAGCATTTGAAAACTCGGCATGAGACCTAATGGCATTAAAAAATGTATGAGAAAAAAATTATGGAAATTCATTATAGAAGAAAATTTTAAAGCAGGAAATTCTCAAAAGATAGTTCTTTGTGGGAAAAAAAACTATTTGGGGAATATGGTGTCAGATTCTGGATCCTACATGCATTGTTTAGTTCAGAAATTATGTTAGAATACACTGTACAGCAAACACCCCAGATACCTGGTTGAAAGGTAAGAAAGTATATTTTAGTCATAAAAGGGCTAATACAAGCAGCAGGAGGTGAAAGGAGCTGCTCTTTGGAAAAGTTAAGCCAGCAAAAAGAAAGTCATGCCCATGGTTAATAGAGAGCAAGCTGCTGATAACTACCAGGGGAGGTGGTCTTAGGTGAGGGCTGCGGTGCTTCCAGGGTGGTCCCAATGCAATAACTGTGCCATCTACTGTCATGCCAAGTGCTCAGATGCTGCACCAATGATGGTTGTTGATCAAAAGGGTTTTACTGCCCTCCTCAACCACACCACAAAAGCAGCTATTACGATAGAGGCTGGCAGCTAGGTTTGAGGGTGCAGAATACGCAGCCGAAGACGAATGCACAGGTGTGCCAAAATCTGAACATGCATCTATGGACACCAAAAAACCTGACTCAAACTAACAAACTGAAAAGCAATCTGTCAAATGAAAACTGAAATCTGACTGAACAAGTCCCTTATGCAACCTAAAGATTGAAATCTTGATTAACCAGAAGAAAACTCGGGGGAAGCAGGAATCCTTATTTTGGAGGCTTTCAAATTAATAGAGGGGAAGGTTAGATGCAAACAAAAATATCTTCATTTCACTGCTATTAACAGAACTTTTCCATTCCTGGCCTCACAATTTAGAAAACTGTGGGTACAGATGAAATTTCTGCCAGTGTCTGACATCTTGTGAGGCCCTGAGCCTGAACATTAATGACCAATGCATAAGGGGCCCAGGTGCCAGGACTGATGGAGACTGGGCCAATTATTTTAGCAGCTGGAGCTTTGTTTTACTAAAACCTTTGGATAAGACTGTTTCATTCTTTTTCCTTCTTCTTCTTGTTCTTTCTACAATTTGCTTCTTGCTTTTAAACCTTTTAAAAGGAGGTTATAATAAAATTCTGGTTCACTGAGATTCCCCTTTGTTAAATTCTGGTTAATTGAGGTGCTTATGTGCATCATGAGCTTTGCTTTTCCAATGTCTTACTGTGTGGGATGTGCCCAAAAGGACAATCACATTGGTCCCTGGAACAACATTCCCCAAAGGCAAGAGATGATGGTCCTGAGCCACCCACCCTTTTAGATGATGTTCACAATCGCTGTTGGCTTCTTTTTAGCCATTTTGGGCCTGATGTTGCCTTTCCGGCTAAGCCCCAGAAGCTCCCCTTTCTTGGGTGGTCTGCAGAGTTCTCTTGAGGACTCAGCCTGTTCGTGAACAGACTTGGCAGGCTGCAGTCCGGCTCTCTCATCCTTGGCTTTCTTCAGGTAGCTCCTTCCCTTCGGGTGGAAATGGGTCTTAAGATCAGGATGGCCACACACAGAATGCGGGTGTCCTCGGCTTCTACAGATGGTTAGGTGGGAGTGGAAGGGAGATGAACAGAAAAAAAATATATCTCTTTAAGCCTTAAAATCATTGGAACTAGTCATGGCATGATCACTCCTGCATGCACGGTGGTGATCATGCTCCCACTGAGACAAATCATCGATACTGGTATTTCTCTTCCAAAAAGTTCCTGTGATCCCCAGGAAATGATCAGATGATGCTAAGTTCCCAGGGAGATATTATTAGTCCTACTACCAGTGACAAAATTGAAGAACATAAAATTTAAATGACTATCTAGTTGGTCTACAGAGAAGATGGATGGGGTCAGAGCCCCCATCTTTTGACTCTTTTACTAAGGGATTCAGGAAAATCCATTGAATAGACATTATACAAGACAGTATAAAGGATATGATTTATATAATAATGTATGCATATTAATTACATTAATAGTACTATAGAGTCAGGAATGGGTGCACACCTGTAATCCCATGACAAGAGGCTGAAGTAGGAGGATCACAAGTTAGAGGACAGCCTCAGCAATTTAGCAAGACCCTGTCTCAAAATAAAATTTAAAAAGGCTGGGGATAGCTCAATGATAAAGAACTCACAGKTCCAATCCCCAGTACCAAAAGATTAAAATAAACAACAATATAGAGCTATTTGACTATACTATTTCTCAAAAGAGAAAGTTACATTGCAAAATTATACTCTGGCATTCTCTTATTGCCATATGCTAATAGATTTTTAGCATATTTGGCAGTTACATCAACATTTTATGGTCAGGTATACAAGCAGATGAATTTCCATCTAAGCCTCTCAAATCCCATTATAGATATATAAAATGCAACAGGGAAACATTCATACGTTATCCAATGGCCCAAGTATAAAAAGATATACATACAGGCATTTGAGTTTCCTATTTGAAGAGATATCTGTAAGCTGAAAGAAAACAAATAAGAGAACATATTACTTAACTTGAAGGCTGAATTTGGTTTGAAAACTCTTCCCTGCATTCTTAAGAAAGTGAATTCACATGAAGGAAGTTACTGTTCCTGGCATGTTACCCTTGGCACCACCCATCATATCAGTGAATGAATGGGAGGTTTGCCCCCTGCTTCCTCAGGGAGCCTTGGGGACCTGTGCTGGGCTTTCCAAGAAGCCCACATCAGCAGATCTCAAAAATTTTAGAAAGTCAAAAGCATCCCAACAAATGAATGTTTGAAGAAACATGTCTTTAAAAACTGGAATGATGTGCATTTCCTGAGTATCAGACTAAATTTACTGTTAACTTAATATAGTTGTGGCTGGTCACAAAGTATCAACTAAGAGGAAATTGGCATAAAATGTTTACTGCCTAAAATACATCATTTCTAAAATGAGAACATATGAATACCAACCCCTCAAATATCCCTGAGGCCATCTATCATTGAGCTTATTTTCCACTCGTAATAACCCATGCAATAAAATGTTTGCATGTACTTTTGTGGCTCGGAATTACTTCATTTGCAGAATAAATTGATAATTATCATTTTGTGATCCAGATGTCACCATTCCGTTTATAGGCAAACCCAGCATATTCCCAGCCTTCAGTCCCTGATCTCCCTGATACAGCTTTCACTAGATGAAGCCATGTTGCATCAGCAGACAAACAGAAGAGAACAAAGAAAATGTAGAGAAGGGGCCACTTCAGTATTTGGGATAGTGTGGCTAAGACACACTTAGTGTCTGTGGGGAACTGGTTCCAGGACCCATGATGATACTGAAATCTGTGRATGCTCAAGTCCCCTGTATAAAATGGCCTCATATTTGCATAGAACCTTTATGCATCCTCCCTTATACTTTAAATCCTCTCCAGATTACTTATAATACCTAATAAAATGTAAATGCTATCAAAATAGCTGTTACATTGCATGGGTTAGGGAATAATGGCAAGGGAAAAAGTCAGTAAATGTTCAGTACCAATGTAATTTTTTTCCAAATAGTTTCAATCTATGGTTGAATGCATGGATGTGGAGCCCATAGGTATAGAGGGCCACAAGGACTTCTAAAATATAAGCATGGTGATTCAGGTTGCTACGGGCTTAGGGCAACTGATCATCTAGCTCTTTTCCAACTTGCCCTCTATATAGGTAGTGTACCCAACTTGTTTAGACCAAAACCTTGGATTTATTCTTGATTCTCCTCTTTTCCTTGTCTGTTAAATCTAATCCTTCATCAAGGCAACCGGTGTTTTCAATTCTACCCCAGAACACATCCTTCTCTGTACTTCTTCCACTCTTTTCCAGCTACCAGCGCTCTTAACCTTTTATTATAATAGTCCCCTACCCCATATTTCATTTTGCATCTCCAGCTTATTCCCAACAGAGCAGCCAGAGTGGCTTTGCTAAAACACAAGTTCATCTCCTGCTCTRCCTGTTCCTTGCCTAGAACATTCTGCTTCTCACTTTCCACAGACCTGCATCCTGCTTGATATTCAGGTCACAGTGCAAATGCTGCCTCCCAGCAAGGTTTTCCTGACCACTCAATCCAAAGTCCTCCACCCTGAACCCCTCAAATGTATATTTTTACTTTCTCCCTTCACAGTACTTATCACTGTATGAAACTATGTCCCCCTCCCCACTGAGAGCAGGGGCCTTTCACTGCAGCTTCCTTAGCACCCAGTAAATACTGCACCCCCAATAAGTATGTGTTAAATGAATTACTGCTAGTCCTAATTTAGCAACCTGAAGGAAATAAAAGCAACACTTAAAGCAACATTATTCAGATTGTCTCATTGACCTTCCATGTGAGCAGTTCTGGAAAGATTTTTGGCAGATGGGATATTAGGTCACTTTGTGTCTAATTCGACAGCATTTTTTTTTCAGAGCATAAAGATAAAATATCTGAGTAAGCACACTGTATTTTTAGAAATCAGCCAGGTGAAAAAGTACATAAATGCTCAAGGGGATTAAGGGAAAGATACAGATGCCACAACATTAGTTCAGAAAAGGCACTAAATGTGAAGGGAAGGAAATTTTTTTTCATAGCACAGAAGAATTTTAATGCTAGAAGTCACCTTAGAAAGAAGTAACTCACTTATCAATCTAGGGATTTCATGGCTTTCTGGAGTGGTAATGACAAAAAAGGGAGAGGAGGGAGAGGGAATTAAGGTAGATATAAGGAGGGAGGTGAAGAAAGCAGACACATTCTTGGCAGCACAGTCTTAGCAGAAAGGATGAGAGCTGGGCTGGGATGGCATTCCTGACTGTTCTGCAGGAGAGAGATCTGGTGTGCAAGCTGGCAGGGGGCAGAGGAACTGTGCAGCATGTCTGCTTGTCCTGGAGGCCCTGGAGCAAGGAGCTATCCTGGGTGCAGCTAGAGTGAAGGCTCAGGAAGTTTTAGTTTCTCGGGGTGCTACACCTTCACTAAGCTGGGTCAAAGAGTTTACTGAATATATCATTTGACGCTTTCCCTGTTAAAAGCTTCTGAGTTATTCTGTGTCTATCATCATAGACAGCCCAGGAGGCCAGACTTAGCACTGCTTATATCAAAGACATGGCTCCTCATTTTACAGGTGGATATGTATCATTACAGTGAAATAAGCTAAGTGAAAAAGGAGAAATGGCCTACAGGGTCTGTAGACCATCTCATAGCATGGCACACGGTGGTTCAAAGCTTGGACTTGGACAACTATACACAGGAATGGGGAGAAAAATACATTTTCCCAATCCTTTCAAAAATTACACACTTCATTCCTCGTCTTCTCAGGGCCATATGTCCCTCCTATGATGAGGCGGTTCTCCTCACTGCAGCCTGATCTTGCCCCAACAACACACAGCTCTCTCTCATTTCTAGATTCCTTATTATAATCGTAACTGCACTTCATTTTATTTGGATTAGTCAACTTTTTTCCTTAGGCAGGACAAGTCTGCTGAAGGCAGATCCTATCATGTCTGGGATACAGAAGATATAATCATAAATATTTCTTAATTTCCCACCATATTTGAACATATTTATGTGTATACATGCGTGTTGTGTGTGCACACATGCGATTTTGTACGTATATCATCTGACTAGAAAAGTGGAGATGCCACTAAGCTTGGGATTACATGATATAATGTGATGAGAAATAACGACGGGCTGTGTCTCTGGAAGGTATTCAATTTTCAAGCTACAAAAATAAACTGAGTAGAGAAAATGAGCAAAGATAGATATTTTAAAAAGAGTGAGCCAGGTGCTGCGGTGCATGCCTGTAATTCCAGTGACTCCAGAGGCTGAGGCAGAAGGATCAGAAGTTCAAAGCCAACCTCAGCAATTTAGCAAGGCCCTAAACAACTTAATGAGACTATATGTATGTATATAAATTACCTAAGTGAATCCTACCATTGTGTACACCCATAGGAATGGGGTCTTAGTTAGAATAAGACAAATTCCTTGCTTACACAGTTGTATGAAAATGGATTCTACAGTCAAGTATAACTAAGAAGAACTAATAAAAAATTCAAAAATAAAAAGGGCTAGGAATGTGGCTCAGTGGTTAAGTGCCCCTAGGTTTAAGCACCAGTACGAAAAAAAAAAAATAGAGGAGGGAGGAAAACTAATGGCTTCCTTTCATCCTCCTTACCTTCCACTGGCTTCTCCCTTAGTTCAGTACAGAATTTCAAGCACTGAGTGGTTTAGTAGCCTACATACTGAAACTGTTAATGCTACTTATCAATTTTAGGATTCCTAACCCTCAAAGTCAGGTGATGATCAGACCATTTGGGATGCCAAATGATTTAAGAGAGTATTGAATTCAATATCTTTATTTTATAGAAGATTTAAAGGCCCCAGAAGGAAAAACGTCTCCCTCAGTCAGAAGCAGAGTAAGAATGTTTTGAAAGCCAGGCCTTCTTACCTATGTCTGGGCTCCATGACCTCTGACCACAACCCTCTTTTAAGAGAAGGCTTCGGTGCCCCCTCTAACAACAGCTAATCACCACTGGATACTTTACAGCTAGTTATTATTTATTATTTCCYGGGTGAGGAAAAAGTGTATGTGGTTGGATCTTGCTTTAATTAGAAGGACCAAAGCTTTCATAAGATTCTCTTGAAGAGCTCCAAAACAGAACTGGACACCATCATGGTCTCCCAAGGAGAAAATAGGGTTTAAGTGGGGAAGTACTCAGAAGTACTTCATGGAGAAGATAGTAGGCACTCACCCAGGAAATAATAATAAATGTTTCACACAGAGGAGGCTGCTTGGAACAGTGCTAAAATCTCAGACATAACAAATTTACTTTCTTCCCATCTACTATGTTCTGGAAGGTTTGCCTCACTGAACTGAGCCAAGTAGACATTTTTACAGCAAGCACTAGGTAAGATTCTTTCATTTCTTACCTTCCTCTCTCCTTTCCTTCCTGTTGTCTGTCTCCCTCCCCTGCCTTTCTTATCTTATCCACTTGCCTTTCATCTCATTCCTTCTAGATAATTAGTTTTATTACATAATCACGTTTGCTTCAAATCGTGACTTCCACAAGCTCAAGCCAAATTTTTAGTCAGCCAACCTTGCTAATCTTGTGGTTAGCCAAACTATTTTTCTTTTCCTCGTAATACAGTATATTTCCTTATAATACAGTGAAAGAATAAAATCTGAAAAGGAGATAAGCATAAATGAAGCTCAATGAATCATGAAAATGTTATAAACAAACCATAACTTTGGGGTTGCAAAAATCCTTTCTTTGCCTTTGTTGTTGAYGCCACACCAAAGAAACTATATAGGGGGGCAATATGACCACCCATTCCTTTCACCTACAGTGTCCCCCGACCACACTACAAAGAAACCAGGGTCTCAATTAATCCACCAATGAGAATGTGGATCTTCACCCACATCCAGGATTCTCATCTGGACTCTACAGTTTTCTTAATCCCCTCAACTCTACGTAAAATGGTATGCAGAAGTCTATCCTAGACCTTCCACCTATGACGTTTCTTGTTGAAATTCTACTTTAGCACTATTTAATGTATTGATACGGTTGAACCATGTTTTCCTTCCAATTAATGGAAGGAAAAAGTGTATGTGTTTGGATCTTGCTTTAGTAAGAAGRACCAAAGCTGTCTTAAGATTCTCCTAAAGAGCTCCAAAACAGAATAATGATAACTTCTGATCTACCTGAATAGCAAGGTTGAAACAAATGATTTCTTTGGATACTTCAAACTCCATCATTTAGCAAATATTAAGCTATTCATAGCAATTCAGCAGGGCATGGAGGAAGAGGGTGAAGAAGGAGAGGTGTGCATCCCGTCTGGGATCTGGCTTCCCTCCACACATAGGCGTGACCCAGGCATGCTTTCATATGATGCCTCGGGAGCCCTGCCAGTCACCCAGCTCTCACCATACATGGGGACCTCACACTGGCCACTAGAAGGGTGGGACTTACCACATGCTCACTGATGTCACGGCTTCGACCTGAGACCTGCTGGCTTTGGTAGTATTCTAGCTGCTTCTCTGCCAGTTCTACCCGTTGCAACAGATTCTCAATAAAGTCCTGGAGTCTCGCTTTCCCCTGAACCTCCTTCTCAGCTGCTGTTTCCAAGAAATGGTTAAAGGTCACTACTTCTCTGCAGGGCAAAAAAAAAAATGTTAGAACACAAAATGGATAAATAAGCCAGGAATTTATTCATTCAACATATTGATAGGTGCCGACCATGTACCAGTCACCATCCTAGTCATCGTCCTAGGCAGTATGGCCTCGTAATGATGAAAGAAATCTTAGGATAACTGAATCATTAAACCATCTCCAAGTGTACTTATAAGGGAAAACCATCAAAAATTCAAACAAGAGACCAGCCTTTTTTTTTCAACAATTCATTCAGGTTTATAATATTTGTTTATTTTATTGCAGAGATATTTCACATTTATTATGAAAATTGACCTATTAGAGGATCAAGGGCTTTTTTTCTCTGCTCAATGATCCATATTCAATACAATGCTTGAYACATATTCAATAAATATCTTTTATAAGTAACGTTTACAAAGAACAAGAAACCAAAAATCACTTATTACCCCACTACTGTCAAGTCCTACTGTAACTATTGCCAACTTCCTATATATTTTTCCCAGTCTTTTTGCTCTCTGCATATTTACTACTCTTGGGCCTTCAGGTGGTACAGTTTAGAATATGAGGAAAAAGCAATACCTGACAGCCTAATCTCACAGGATTAATATTGAAAAATCAAGAGAATGAATCTGAATGCAACACTGCATATGATTATGGCTGTATTTTTAAATCACATAAGTTTTGCTGCTGGTTCCATATAAAACTTTTAAAAATTAACATTAATGCTCCTAGTCTATCATGGAGTGTTATGTCATATTGGAGCAAAGAAGAATCTTTTTCTAACCTCCCTCATCCAATTATCTTGTGCCCTGAAGCTGAGAAGTTAATAACCTTTGTATTTTTCAAACAACCTGGCACAAATGCTAACCTAATTTTAGTTTGTGAATGTATCACATCAAATAGAAAAGAAAAGACCATTAAATCAAGCTYGATGGTTATGGTCTGACTTTGTTTTAAAAGAGAAGCTGAATACATAAAACAAAAGCCAAAGAAGTTCCTCATGCAGATTATATAAAGAATCTTCATTAAATGAAAAGAGCGTGTAATCATGGAATAGCAGGTATGTACATCTTAGATCCTTGTCACATCCTGTTCACCTGGATGAAGGATATCCAGAGCCACCAATGTACTCCCCAAGGAATCTTGAGAAATTTCTGAATGGAAAAGAAAGAGGTTTAACCACATTGTACTTATAACCTCTTTAATAATTATATTCCAAACAGCAAAGCATCCGTTCAAAGTGCAAGACAGACCAATGGATTTCAATGTATGAGAACAAAATGCTCACTGATATGCTTTCAGATCCTGCACAGCAATTAATCTTTAAGAAATTACCAATTGTTCCATTTGGGCACAGTATCAAGACAGAACATCCACTATTATCTGAAAAGACTATTAAAATATCCCTCCATTTTCCTGCTATACTTTTTTCATCTATTTAATCAAAACAAAGAGTCTGTAACAGACTGAATGTAGGACCACTGAAGTCCAGCTGCCTTCTATGAAGCCAGACATTAAACATATTTGCAGAACTTCTAGTAAAATTATTTTCACTAGATTGTTTTTGGAAAAATAGCTATTTTCCATAAAAATTTTATTTTGTTAACATAATGGATATATGTAGTGGGAGTAGACATTGAAAGAAACAAATACAGAAATATGTACCTACAAAGCTGAGCTGAATGTGACTGAGAGAAAGAATAATTTGATGCTATCAGAAAGAGCAGTAAAAGGTGTGTGTCGTTTTACTTTAGGTTCTCATCCCTCTGACTCAGAATTCAGGGTGAAGTTAGAAAGCCAGATGAGAAGATATGAGCAAAGCTGAGTGAAATCCAGTCGGGGTGCTTTGCGGAAATTAACTGGTTCTAGGCCAATTTTGGCCCCATCTTTGACTTATTTATTTAACAAGGAAAAAAGGTTAAATATAAGGTTTCATGGAAAAATATGCTTACAGTCAGTCTGTTACAAACTCTTTGTCTTGATTAAATAGATGAAACAATATTTGACTATTAAGTAAAAACATGCCAGTAATATTTGAGAAACTGACCTTGAAGCTCCTTATTATGCAGAATGAGTTACAGGCCTGGAAATCTGACAGTATCTTGGGATTCACAGGCATTCAGAAATCAATAGAGTAGATGGGGGAACTGAGGGGAAAAGCCCTTTCTGAGTAGTTTCAAAGCTTTAGTTAGAAAAAAATATTCATTCACTCATGAGTTCATTCATTTACAGGATGATCATATGGTCTAAAACACAGATAATATCATTTAATTTTTCACAGATTGAATCCCCTCAATTACTTCTTCTKAGGTGGGCTGAAGACAGGTTAATTGAGAAAAATCAAAGACACACTATTATGTGAACAACACACCTAGAAGCCAATCCTATCATGAGTTACAGTATACGATCCATAAATCATTTCTTAAGTCTATTTAAACTCCATTCATTCTTGCATCCAGCCAGACTCTTCCTTTTGAATATGCTGTTCCCTCTGCCAGGTTCTTTCTCCCTGCCCTTCCCTCTAACCTCAGGCTCTCCTGCTAGGAATCACACCCAGACACATGACCAAGTGTAGATGAGATAGTCTGCCATATCCACCACAAAACCTCATGCTCACTCTATCAAAGTGCACAGCCCTGGAGACCAGTTGTGCCACTGACCCAATTTGATCATAAAACCAGTGAGGGCAGGGACCTTATCTCTCCTTCACTAGGGTACCCAGCATCTAACATGAGTCTAGTGCACAATAGGGGCTCAACACATATCTGCTGAATGCATAGAATGTGCAACTCTGTCTCTACAAAGACAATTATTCCTTTTTCCAGATAAGTACTGGGGCCTAAAACCAATGAGCAACCCACAGTTGCCTCCTGCAGGAATGGGGGTGGGATCTAAACCTGATGCTTCCTGTTCTTAACAACACTTTCAACATTGCTTTCTCCTCCCAAAGGCAGAGCTCTACCAAGTTATTTAAATTTCATTTTACATTACTGATTTATGAACCTCTTCAGAGGTATATGAAATGATAAAAATACCTCTAGCTAAAAATAGTTTAGCTATTGATCACAGAGCACCACAGACAGACTATAATGTCAGCCAGGAGGTATATCCAGAAACAAGAGTCAGCCATCTCCAAGCACTAAGGGCCTCTCTGCAAACTCAAAGGCCYCACCTGGTTCCCAAAGGGGACACACAGGCCAATCTGCACCAGCCACACCTCTGGAGACTCCCCCAACCCCTTTTTTGGCTTTTTGTCTCATCTTTCCTTTTTGGCTTCTTGGACTAAACCAATATGCTCCTCGTTAAGAACTTTTTTAAAAAAAAGATTCTATAATGAGATTAACAAATTATTCTTATTGGCTCTAAGTAGATCAACACTATATTCTAAGTTCCTCAGGTTGGGTGTGGGCATGAGGAGAGAGATGGAGAGACAGAGAGAAAACAGAAAATTTTTCTGGGTTTCCTAATTTTACCACATGGCATCCCCAWGAAAACATGCTTGACATCTGGTTTATTCTGTTTTAGTTATTAAGCCTGCATGSGACTCAGCTTGAAAAGAGAGGAAACCTCACAATATGGAACCAATCGAACCCTCTCCCCTCTACTGCACTCTGCTTCTTGGCCTGTCTCCTAACTGTTCATCAGTATGGACACCAGCGTCTCTACCCAGTGCTTTGGCTGACCCAGAAAACGGGAATGACTTAAGTAAATGGCCAGAGGGTTTGACTGTGTAAAGCAAGTTACCAAGTCAACCTTGCCTTTTAAAGGCCAGCATCCCATGGCCAGCCCTCGATAATAATCTAAATGGACATGATGGGCTCAGGCTGCCCTCCACGTCTCTTTTATCACAGCCTAGTGATCTGTTGGAGGCCATGTTTCCTTGTGCTCTGTAAGTGCTTTGGAGGAAGGAACTGCACTTGGGGAAGTACTGTTTGACCAGAACCTGGAGTAGAACCTGCCAATCAGTAGGCTCTTAGTAAATGTTATCTTCTGCAGGGCTCGGAGCTGGGAATGGGGCAAGCAATGAAGGGAGAAGGGAAACAGAGTCTATCTATTGTAGCTCACAAAGCCATAGATGGAAATTAGAGATGGGATCACAAAGAGGCCCCTCGAGGCAATCACAGGCCGGCAAATGACACATGCCCTACCCTGACTGGGAAAGGACATCCAGAGAGTCCGGTTAAAAGCCCTTGCTGGAACATGAAAGCCCTGGGGTGGGTGTACCAGAAGCTTAATGTCATGGCCATGCCTGTGGTGGCACCACTTCCCTGTTCCCAACACCTTTGATAACAGCTGGTATTTTCTTTAATCACATCAGAAAAATAAATGATGTCATCATAGCAGCCCTCTTAAAATAGCAAAGAAACAAGCCTATTCCAAAATGGGCCACGCTGAATATTACATAAGTCTCGACGCTTTGGGCAAATATCACATTTTCAGAAGTCTGGCTAGGACATGGTGAACTAACAGAAAAAGCACTCTGCAGGGATGCAGGAAAAGGGCTTCAGTTTCAGCTTTGCCACTAAATCTTTGTCCTTGGGCAAGTCATTCTACTGCTCTGGGCTTATTTTCTGCATCTGTGTAATGAACATGTCCCCCAAAGGAGACAGAGGACAGACACCTTCTAGTTCTAAAAATCAAAAATCACACCATCCACTCAGGGGCCATCTCTGACAGCCCAGTTGCCCCTTCAATGTCACCATCATCTGGCTGCTACTGCAAATTCCACCCTTCTTCCTCATTCCCTCAGTGTGGCTTCTCCCTGTAAAAAGATCTGTCCCCTAATGTTCTATCAACCTGAAACTATGGCTTGCATTTAAGCACTTGTTAAAGCTACCCTGCTTTTGGGCACAGGCATGATCGTGGGTATGCTTTATTCTTCCTATGTAAAACATAAGCACCTTAGAGGAAAGTATCGAGAATTTTATATTCCCCACATACCCCCAGTACAGGGATAGGCACATCACTGGTGATCTATGGTCACTTTCCAAATTTACCAGGAAAAGGTCCTCAAGTAAATTTGGGATTACCATTATTACCCTCAATTTCTCCAAACTACAAAAGGCCAACTCAGTTACCACTTAAATTCAACCTTTCTTGTTAAGGGATACCTTGCTGCAAGGTGGCTGGGATTGATTTACCTGATTACAGGCAATGCTGCCCAACATCTCCGACTCCTCGTCAATAAGTAAATACCCATTTCAGAGGAACTTAAAGTTACATGGACTTTGTAAAGATGAGCAACTTCTTTCTAGGATTTGCACTCCAAAAATATACAGATACCTCTCTACACGAGTACAAGAAAATTCACTAGCGTGAAAGTACAGAATATTGCCAATTCAAACTTCCTCTGTATTATGGTATATATATGACCTCCATAGAGCAATGACCTCAGGGCAGATGCAGCTTTAGGGATTTTTTAATTTCAACTTCAAAGAAAGAATTTTTATAGATGAGGGGTAAATTCATAGGTAAGAAAGTCTTATGTGGATGCAAAAAATCAGACTTTTGCTATTTTAAAAAATCAAATCAACATCTATGTTCCAAAGTATCCCCAAGCTTAAGTCAATTTCACATAGGACCACAACAATCTACTTTCTCTCACAAATGGGCCTTGAGAGCTTATGTGGAGGCATTTGGCAAGGAAGCACAGTTTCTGGTATGTACCCCAGCTAAACAGGGCCTGGCCTTACCTGATAGTCCACCTCTTAGTGGAGGGCACAGCCCTCCAAGGGAGTGGTAAGGAGGGAAGGGGCAAGACCTAGTCTCGCAGATCCAGCCAAATCCACCCCGTATCATAGGTATAGGAGATGGGCAGTTCCTATGCATCCCCAATCAGACGACAGGGGGAGGAGGGGCAAAGCTAGACACTGAGTATGCTGTCCACAGTGGCTCCCAAGACCAAAAGCTCCAGTGTCCTTCATGGAAAACAAGACTCTTTCAGTCTATTTTATTTACAGAAAGAGTGATTATTTGAGGCTTGAATACAGAAACTGACAGTATGGACCCAAATGAAAGCTTTARAAAATGAAGACTTTTGTTTATTTTACATTTAAAAGATTAAGGCAACGTCACTGTATTTTTATTCCAAGTTGTGTTTTTTAAAATTCCATAGTTTTCTGTTAGCCTGAAAATGATATACTAAAAATCAACTTGTGCTGTGGTGGTGGCTCAGTGGTAGAGTGTGTGCTTAGCATACACAAGGCCTAGGTTCAATTCTAGCCCCAAAATTAAATTAAAAATAAGAAAACTCCTAGGGATGCCAACAAAACTGTCAACAAAACTGTACAGTGATATTAACTGGGCACTATAATACTATGAAAATGGAACAAACTGTGTATTTATCAATAGCACACTGGTTAAATCAGCCTTATGCATCCATGGAATATTATGCAACAGCCAAAAGGAATGACTATTATCATATTTTGAGCACAAAAGATGCCTGAAACATATTATGTTAAAACAAAAACAGCTCTAAATGCAAGTGGCAGAAAAGTATGCATCATGACTCTATTTTGAAAAGCATTGTAACTCTACATGTACAAATGACATGTGGCTGTTTGCACACAGAAAGGCTCTGGATGGATGTTTAGTAAACTTCACAATGCTGTCTCCAGAGAATGGTGCGGATGTTCTTGGAGAGAAGGGGGTATTTTTTTTACATATACAATTCTATCTGGCTAAAAATTTGTTTTCTACATGTATGTTTTTCATTAGGTGTTCAAGAGACAGCATGGATTAATCATAACACAATATCATTACACACCCATGTATAGATCACTTTTATTTAATCAGTTATTTTTAATAAAGTACTCTTGACCCTATCACCCCAAAGTTAGATCCTTGACAATAACCTACATCTAACCATAAGATCCATCCCTTCGGTATCTTGTCTTTCTATAGTCCAGGCAGCCACCATCTCACACCCCTTGTTCATTATGACTTCTCTTATTAATCTACACAATAGAACAAACCAATGAATGCAAAATATCAATTAGGTGGCCTTTTAAATTCAATGCTCTTAAATTAAACAGATATACTACAAAGTTAATTCTAGGCCTTTTTCTACACACAAAGGAAACCCCATCAGCTATTTTCCCAACAGTGGCAGGTCATCTTGGTGACCACAATGGGTCAAAAAAAAAAAAAAATACTACCTTCCTACCAGGTAACATCAGAAGCTAAAAAAAAAAAAAAAAAAAAAAAAAAACTAGTAAAGCAAATCAGTAGCTGATTCAAATTTACCCTTCCTTTATTTAAAAAAATGCCCATGCTTCCCTCCAAGGTAGAATATAAACATTTAATGATAGCAAGTATAGACCTCTTTAATACATAGGGCTTCTTAGGGAGTTTTAATTAATACATTTTAAGAAGCGACACAAGATAGAAGAGTGCCAGAGGGCAAAGAGAAGATGAAAGTAAATCATCTCTATAGTAGCACTCAAATTATTTGGAAACCTGTCTTCTAGGATGTTTTAGTCTGTCAATTTTTATGTCCTTTGATTCTACAAATTCTGAGCCTCCATTTAAAATAAAATCTGATGTTCTACATTTGGGAAATACACTGAATTGTTACTTATGCTTTTCCAGTGTGGGTTAAATCCATACTTACTGATAAAGAAATTCTTCTCTAAGTATGATGATTTTTCAAGTAACAGCTTCTATGATCACCTCTGACTTGCAAAACCAGTGTCAACTCTTTGCAAGCAGCAAAGATAATCTAGTATCATGCATCATTTTATAAAAAGGAAAATCTCAAATGTAAATCACAGAGGTATAGCTATATCAGAATGTCTTCCCTCTGGGTTTCCTAATGTCTCTTTTTTTCCAAATGTAACTTATAATTAAACAAATTCTCAACTAATGACACTTCATTAATGTGGGCAGATAATCCAAAATGGCAAATAAGCCAAAATTATTTGAATTCAGCACATATTTTTATGCTGAATAAGACAGCATCTCAAGTTCTTGACTCTATAATACAGAGATTGTCAGGAGGTATGGCTCTCAGGGTACGTCTTTCCGCCTACACATTCAACTTCACTTGCAACTTCACTACCTATGGGATCCCCCATATGTAGGTGGTGTTACTCCTCTAAAAACATCAGTGGTTTACAGTTTCCAAGGTAACAAGGAGTTGGACACTATGACTTTAAAGTTGCTGGACTACAGACTGTACACAGAGGGGGTGAATAATATCAAGGCCTGTACCTCCTGGTTCAACTATATCAATGAGAGAAATGCAGCCAAGACACCTAAAAACACTACAAATCAAATCTTGCTTAACATTTGCTTATAACTTGGGGAGGGATCCCTAAAGCAAAGGGGTTAGCATCCTGTCTCAGCACCACTTACTCTTGCTTCCTAAGAAGCTCCTCCTCAGATTCTGTCAGGCGCTGCCTCAGTGCTGCGATCATTTCCACTGCCACATCCACCTGTCTATTGAGGGCCCGCTCTCGTCTCTGAACTTCCTGCTTTTTCTGAGTTAGCTGCACAAAGGCTGCCCGGACTTCCAACAGTTCAGCAGTTTTCTGGGCCAACTCTTTGGTGAGTTTATCAATTCTCTTCTCAATGGTCCTATCCACAGCCTCAACCATGCGATTGAATTTTTCTCTGACGTGTGCCTCGAAAGAGGCTTTCGTGTCTGAGGTGGGAAGTCCAGGACTGGACCGTGGCCCATCCAGGGAGTCTGCACGGATGTCCATCGCAGCATAGGTCTGCACGTAGGACACAGGCCTCTCTGCCACCACCTCAAATGGCTTTCGGTCCTTGGAGTGTTCATGTGCAATGCTATACAAGTTAACATAGCTTGGTTTCTGCTTTACCACATTGCCGTGGCTCTGCAATTTTCCCTGTTTCAGGAGTTCGGAGGAAGGGAGTAGTTCTGTGTCTTTGAGAGATGGAAAGAGGCTGCATTTTGTCAGGAGCGTTCTTTCTTCATAACTGTGACTGAATTCCAGATGGGCCCTCAAGGATGACAAGCTTCTAAATCTGGTATGGTCTCCACACCTCGGGCAGCGGAATGGCAGGCACACAGCAACATTTTCAAAGGACTCCTGCCAGGGATATCTGCCTTCCTCAAAAGCCTTCTGTTGCATTACTCTAAAAGTCCTGGGAGGGAGGAAAAATGGGGAGTTTAAAATAAATAAATGCATAATACTACCAAAATGATTGCTGCTCATCTCCATGGGGGCAGTGGCCTTTCGGTTTAAAGCAAGTTTTGTATAGAATACTTTATATTGATTTTGTGTCAAAGTTAAAACCTACACCCAGAAAATCCAGGTCAAATCCAGCAAGCCACATCCATTCATTTCTGTATCATTTACTGCTGCTTTTGCACATCAATATCAGAGGTGAATTGTATAGTTGAGACACAGATGTTATGCCCAGCAAGTCAAAAATATTCATTCCTTGGCCTTTTGCAGAAAAAAAAAAAGTCTGCCAACACCTGCCTAGAATAAAAAAGGTGGATAATCCTCCCTCTTCCCAGAAGAAAGCATGATGAACCCCAAGTCAGAATGAAACCGGCAGACCCAGAAGAGGAACTCCTGTTTCTTGCCCTCCTGAATTTAATATACCACATGCAAAACTATGCCTTACACGAAAATGAGAAAAACTCACATGAATTGTCAAAATAAGTCCTAAGAGAACAAGCTTAGTGATCTTTTCTCAAGTATATGAAAGTTACTCAAGTATTAAACACAGATGGACTGAAATTTTTTCAACCTATGATTTGTCTTTTTTTCATTAATTACTGGTGGGATGACATAAATCAAAATGTAATCAGAACAACAATGGTCCCATTCTCTAGCATTACTGAAATTTGGGGACTCAATGTGTCAAGCATCATTTGGTGTAAGTAGGCCCATGGCCAAGATTTTATTATAATATCAAGTGTTCTGGATGGATCTGCTTTCTCTGTTCCTATTTTAACTTGAAAACCTGGAGTTGGCCAATGTTTGAGCTGGGTAGGTATCAGCTAACTCTTTCAATAACAGGAAATTCTGGTTTCCTCGTAGGAATTGATTTCCTTCACCCTAGCAACAGATGACTGTTATAACCCAATTTTGCAAGCAGTACAAATCTATTCCCTCTAGGAATGGCTTCTACTTAATGTAGCAAGTATCCCACAATGAGGGGTCCCAAATGGGATCTCAGGATGAAAAGTGTCTTTATTGGGTCTTCAATCTCTTCAAAAACAGAAGTGCAAATGGTCCCCAGACAGCTAGACTGGCAAAGCTTCCAGGTTAATAAGCCTCTGGCCCCCAGAGAGGGGAATTTCTTCCTGTGCTGTACTGGGATGTTTAACCACTGGTTTTGTGGATATGGGATACAAACCCTGATCCACAGCAGGGCCACAGTCCACGGTAAGTGGTGAAGGGGAATCAGGATTTTAGAGAGGCAAGGGGAAAGAGGTGGCATCTCTGGATGGGGAAATGAATAATCACCGCACTCCTGAGCATGCAGGCTTCCATGGGCCCAGCGGAAACCCCAATTCCACAGGGCTGGTGGAAAAGGTCTGCAAGAGCTGGGCAGGCAGGCCGTGACCCTGTCTCTGGGGTCCCAGGTCTCCCCGCCCACGCTCCGCTGCCTGCCTATCGGTGGGTGTCAGAGTGGATTAGTGCGCACACGAGTTGCAGCCCTGCGAGCGGGGGCCAGGAAGCCGGCTCTCCCAACTCCCCGCGGTGCTGCGAGAACCGGGACCCCTTCCCTCGGCGCAGGCGGGCCCCTCGGCCGCGCCCCCTCTGGCGGACCGCGGGAGCAGATGCCCCACGGCGGCCACTTACCCGACTTGTTGCTGCTGCTGCTGCGGCTAATGCCGCCACCGCYGGTGCTGATGCTGCGGGAGCCGAGCGGTTTTCAGCAGAGCCGTAAATCAGGCTGAGCCGGGGCCCGCTCCCACCYCCCGCGCACCCCCGCGCCGGGACGAGCGGCGTCCAGGGCGGAGCGTGGTGCGGGCCAGCCAGCGGGGCGGCGCGTCCGGGGGCGGGAGGCGGGCGCCGGGCACCGGGCTGCCACTCTGCCGGTGCCTTCTCCACCCCGGCTCTGCCCAGCTGGCTGGAGGCCGTGCGCCCTCCCCCGGCCCCGGGAGCAGGATCCGCCTCAGGATTCCACTGACATCACCGGGAGGTGCCGAGATCGTTCCCGGGGGAGGGAAGGAGAGACGCGTGCCAACCTCGTAGGCGCTGCGCTTTCTGCAGGCCCTGGCAAGCTTTTCTGCACTTTACCGTTACTAGGGACCGGGAAAGTGTGGAAGAAGACGAAGCATGGCTGGCCGTCTCTTTGAAAAATCTGCCGGCTAGAGGGGCCAGGTATTTATTATGATCCCTTCGTCCTAAACTACTGGGCGAGAATGTCCCAAAATATCTGCCCAAGAAAGTCTACGCCAGCCTTCCAAGCCAAGTGTCCTGGAGCTAAGTTAGCAGGAGGACCTAAATCTAGTAAAATATAAGAGTTGTTAACAGTTAAACCACCAAGGACTCTCCATCCTCGTGGGGGACACTCTCCTTTTCCAGAAAAGCGAAGATTTATCATCCTAAAGAGAGATTTCTTTTCTTCTGAAGGATCCTGATGTCTCAGATTGTTGGATTTTGTTTTGTTTTATCTTAAACCTGCTTTGGGATACTCTTAGTCTACATCCTGAAATATGAAACCAGGATAAAAGTAACTGATGGGTTTTCTTGGCATCTTGAATTGCCAGGGAGGCAATTCAAGTTGTTTCAACTGATTTTATTTTACTGTGATTAGCTCAAGAATATCTTAGTTGTGTTTTGTTTTGAGAGAGGGTTTTTGTTTCTTTTGTTTTTGACAAATGCATCATTACATAACTGTAATTAAGAACCTGAGCTCTGAAGTCAGACTTGATTCAAATCCTGGCTCTGGACTTGAGTCTAGAACCTGAGTCAAGATTTTTCTGTGCTTTGGATTTTTTGTCAATAAAATGGAGACAATCAGGACCTACCTCTTAATGTGGTGTCAGGGATCAAATGGGGTAACGTTCCCTGGCCCAGACCTACACTGATAAAGGCAGTTTTTTATGGTTATTGTTATTTCATTTATTAATATTAATTCAATAAGAGAGGCCTACATGCCAATAAAAAAATCAGAAACAAGAAGGGATATTATTATGTACTCACTTCCACATCAATCAAGACAGGCAACTGTGAAGGTATTTCTCTTTAGAAATATTTCATTGAAGTTGCCTTTTGATTTGCTCTCAAAATTGTTTATTCCAGATAATTATTTAGCAAAAATTGTTGGAAGTCTGAAGGGTGCACATAATGGAGGGTCAGGTTATCTTGGTGATTGGGTGTGCAGTATGCAAGGTCACTCTGGCTGCCTTTATGGCTGAATGCAACAAAAGTGAGTTCTATAGAGAAAAAGATCTTGGATTTAGACTTTTCCCAATTCTAAAAATGACACAAGTATTAAATAATTATAGAAAGGTCCTGTGCTGCATCAAGACCTGAGCATTATGGGAGATTCCACTTCCTTCCGCAGGTATATCTGACCTTACAATTTACATCAGTAGTTCCCAAAGTGTCACTTGCACACAGCTCTTCCCCCACCAGCAGCATGAATATCACCTGACAACCTAAGAAAAGCTTATGATTGGCCTCAGGCCAGAACTACTGAATCAAAAAGCCTGGAAGCTGATTCCCAGCAATTTGTGGTTTAACAAGCCCTCCCAGTTATTCTGAAGAAACTTGAGGACCACCCATTTCCACAATACCTCTTCATACATTGACTGACACAAACCAATCAAATATATTTCCATGATCATTATGTATCTGGGCAGTGTGGGCACTATGGTAAGCATTTTATTGCATCAAATGTTTCCACACCTATGAGGTAGGAGGAACTAGGTCCTCAGCTTCAGCCACAGAGTTRTTGTACCACTGAGTCTAGCTCTTCCCATCTCTGGGGCTTCTTTACCCATTCATGCCTATTTGCCCTTCAGGGCTCAACTTAAGCATCCATTCTCTGAAGAAGACTTCCCTGACACAGACTAAGTTGGCTTCCATTGGTACAATTTATCATAACAGAATTTATTACAATAGAATGGGTTACTTGTGTATGTTTAATATTTATGTCCCCTTTTAAGTTGTAAGGTGCATGAGTCAGGGACTCTGTCTTGCTCTCCAGGGTATTCCAAATACCTAACACAGTGCTGATCACCTATAAAGTGCTAAAAAAATATTTCTTGATGGAATGCACGTTGAACAAATGAATCCCATCTCTACATATGAAGAAATGGGGGTTCAAAGAAGTTAAATAACTTTCCCAAGATTACACCTAGAAAACATAAAGAGCCAGAACCCCAAACTCTAGGCATTTAACTTCTATACTCACTGCCTTCACAGATTTTAACCAAATAAGTTCCACGAGGCAAAGTACTTACATAAAGTCATAAACTAGTAAATAATAGAAACAGGATTCAAATTCATGTCTTGTAACATTTGTTTTATTCTGTGCTACATTATGCTGTTTTAACCTTTCCTCTCAGAGCTTACAACAAGTCGGTGATCTAAGGCATACATAAATGAAGTAAATTCATAGTAAAAGAAATTAAGTAGGAAGAATCTATGTAGCTTGGTATCACACTTGTTACATAATAGATGCCCAGTAAACCTGTGTTGAATGAAAAATGGTCATAGCTCCCACCTTCAGAGTATTTACAATATGTCTGACTACTAAGCATATACATCCATATCCAGTGTTTCTCAAAGCAGGACCCTTGAGGCCTAGGGAGGTGGTCAAAATGAGGATGCCTGGGACCTTGATTGGAATCAATGGGCATGAGTCTTGGAAATATGCATTTTCACCTACCTCTCCAAGTAATTCTTGTTACCACTAATGTTTTGAGAAACAATCCATGACTTAAAAAACCATCAAWGGCAGGCATTGGTTGCCCCTTATGCACAAGAGAAAATGTTGCTCAAGATGTAATAAATGCTGCTGTAGGTCACACCACTCATGAGCTTCCAAGACAGGAAGGATTTGAGGCTAATTCTGACTCCAGTGGCTCTTTTCCCTGCCACTGTGGAAGGAASGAAAGCAGAAAAAGAGGATGGGCAGAATGGAAAGTAGGAAAGGATGAGGGAAGGAAGACCAGATGGTTGATATAGAAAATATCTTTCATTTAGAAAAAGAGCTCTTCAGCCTGAGGTTGAATTCCTGCTGGAACCTGTAGGAATTGAATGGAGATTTATGGAGTCCCTTTCTTCTCTGTTTACTGAATAACGTGACTCATTAAAAAAGTGTCAGCCCTTGGAAATCAGATGAATTATTTCACCCAGAGTGCCAAGTAATTATGAAAATCCAGGGCTAGCCACACACTTCCCAATTAGGGCACAAGTCCACTTGCTCCACACTGGCCTTAAGTCCTGACTTTTAGGTAACCCATCAGTTCTCCACTGCCACTGTCTTCCAACTCCTGGCTGCAACTAATTGCATACGTGAATTCATTCTTTCTGTTTCTCAACAAGTGTTATGGCAAGCCTACTGTGTGCCAGTACAAATCACTTGCATCTTTTAAGCTTCAGAGCCCTAGCTGTAATTTGGCTTTAAAGCCTCCACCAGAATAATCTACTAGAAAACACTATTTCCATTAAATTCCGTTGGCATAGCAACCACCAAGCAACACTTTGGAAAGTGCCTTAAATCTCATAGCAGTCTGTTAGCCAGAGTGAATGTATAGGGAGTAGGCCAACTATAGAGGCTAAATTTAGACATCTTACAACACCGTGAGCTCCCTCCCACCTAGAAGAGCAGTGTCATTTGCTCTCCTTGGTGGGGTCAAATGAGAGCCAGGTGAGAAAGGGATGGGCTAGTTTTGCATTTAGCTGACTTCTTTGGCCCAGTGCTTGGATTAAGAATGTAGACACCCAAAGACTAAGACCCATTTCACTCCTAATTAACTTTGAGTTTTGATGTAGACTGGGCAGCACCTCTGAACTTCATTGTCCTCATTTGTAAAAGGTAGGAGCTAGAATGAATTGAGGAATTTCCAGCACCATAATCCTACATGCTAGTCCGTGCATTTATAATATCCTTGATAGCATAGATGGGGTGACTATAGGAGAGAACATAGCAGGCATCCCTGGTGATGGTGGAGTGGCACTTTAGCAAAGAGCAGCATTCACATCTTCCTGTACTGATGCTGATATGCATTGAGTCCTTACCATGTACCAAAAATAGCTCTAAGTGGTTTTTCACATGATATGACACTTAACCTTCCTAACAAGGTGCAGGAGAAAGATATTATCCTTATTTCTTAAATAAGTAAATGGAGTCAGAGAAAGGTAAATGACTCACTTTTTTTTTAAGAAATACTAAATTATATAGCCGTGATTTGAACCCAAGCAACTTAAGAACCTACACATGTGAGCATTACTTCATCCATGTCTGGTGCCTAGATCCTTACCTAGCAAATTGAGGGCTCTTGAAAAGCACTTGTTGGACATATAATCAACGACGGTTGGAAACTTCTCTGAGTCTATTCCTCACAAGCCTTCAAGGCCTTTTGCTTTCTTGGTAATTTACAATGTGAAGAGAAATCTTTGAGACATCTTCCCTAAGCAAAATGGTTGTTGGAGAGCTAGAAAGCATGTTGCTATGGAATAAAATATACAGAAAAAGATACAGCTAAAACATGGGGATTGTTAAATAATGAGCTTGGATTATGTAATTATGTCAAGAGTGAATTATGAAACTGACGCTCTGTCAAAACAGAGCCTGTTTTCTAGGACCTAAAATACATAGGTAATTTTATTCTGCTATTTTAGGTGAAAATTACATTTGTTTTTAGAAGCAGAGAGGAAAAAAGCACTTTGCTATAGGCAAGAGAACTGAACTTGAAAATAAAATACATATAGACTTGTCTCCTGTATGTAAAAGAAACAGTAAAACCTGGTTAAACCCCATAACCCAACATCATAAGATGAATCCTTTTTAAATATTACTCCAGTGCAGACATCTGAATGTTTAATTGGAGCCCTTTTTACCCTTTG